CTGCTCACACGTCTGCTTTATTTACCAGTTACATTAGCAATAAAGCTAAAATTATGTTTTAAAAATGGAGAAAATAAGCTAAAATATATGACAGGAAAAAGGAAATGGTAAGGAATAAAAGGTCAGAAAGTTAAAGGTGTGCAATGAAACCTAAAGGAACACGTTTGAAGGGAATGTTAAGAGTCAAGTCACAGGCATATGAGTGAACATTTACCTGAGGTAGATACACTCCTTGGAGCAATCAATCATGGGAGAACAGAAGGCTGTGTATGCACAGGGAGACAGCATAGAGGGCAGGAGTGCATGGGAAGGAAGGACACAGAGAAGAGGTGGCTATGGGGAGGAAGTGGGAGAGGAGCTATTGCATTGTGGGAGACTGCAGTCAATGTCATGAGACAGTGTCTGTGAGCTGCTGTATGGAAAGTGAATTTGCTCTGTAAACTTCATCCAAATCACAATTAAAAAAAAAAAAAAAGAGTCAAGTCAGCTGAGAGGAGGAAAGATGGTACATGCAACGTCAAACCAGAGTCCAAGGGCCACGAGTCCCACGCAGGTACCAGCATCCTGAGCCCAGCCCCCTCCCAGTCAATGGCTCTCCTGGATGAGGCTGCCGACCAGGCATTCCCCCCACGTGGGCAGGACCCCAGCGCACCCCTGCGTTTAGACCTGAGGGTCTGCCGTCACCGCGTCAGCCGGGGCCGTACTCACCTGCTCAGTCCCCCTCCACTGCCGCAGAGCCGGGCCCTTCTCCACCTAGAGGACGGTGCTCCTCCTGACAGAGGCTCCGTCTACCTCCTTCAGACTCAGGCTACTCAAGGCCTGGCGTCTAGGGGCCTTTCCAGTTTTCCTCCCCGGGGTGTCTGCTTCTCAACACCTCACAGGTCAGGCAGGGTGGAGGGACACTGTGCACATCTGAGCTGCCAATGAGAAGGACAGCTGTGCTGTTGACCACCCCTGAGGACTGCGGACAGAGGCACCGGGTTTGAGCCTTGGCTCCGCCTCTTACTAGCCATGTGCCTGTGGGAAATTCCACCCGGACAGCTTTGGCCTCCATGTGTACATTGTCACTACGGGATGTGTGCACAGGAATGAGGCCAGGGAATACACATGGCATAGACCATGCAGTGCTTCTGTTTAAAGGATAATCAGAGATGTGAGGAAGGTGGTTGGAGGGTAGCACAGCTCCCTGCCTTTCGCACTCACCTTTCTGGATTGATCCAGGAAGTGATTCCAAGGGGCATATTGAAGAGGCCGCTCATTAGCCAGGAAGGTGCCAAACAGTGCCTTAGAGGAAGGGCAGCTTATGTCCGTTTTCCTCTAGAAAGGCTCACCTAAGCTTACAGCCACTCGTCTCTCCTCAGAAGTGGGGGACACTGCGGGAGGGGCTCCTTCATAAGGACCTGCCATGGGGAGGCACGCAGCGGCAAAGCAAGTGTGGTGGCCCCTTCCCCTGACAGCTCTCCGCAGAAGGGACTGGGGCTGCCCGCCTGGGCTGGGACAGGCCCGCGCCTACGCGAGCAGCGACAAGGCTAGACCAACTCCCAAAAGGTTGTCCACGGATCCCACCTTCCTTCTGCCTCAGGCCGGACTCCAAGGACAGTCTGCTTTATTTAGTGTGGCATCCCCAAACACAGCTCACGTAAGTGGAAACCAAGACGTGTGCTGGTGAAGGAGGGGCAGGCACAGTGGAGGGAGGAGAGCAGGTCACCAAGAAAGAGGCACACGGCTCAGGTTCTGCTGCTCGACTTTAATGCCACCTGTGGGCCCCGAGGCTCCGGGCACCAGCGCACTCACAGGCAGGAACACGAACACGCAGGCAGCATCCCTCCACATCCACGAGCCGAGCACAGACAGGGATCCCAGAAGCCGAGCCAGGGGCCTCCCGCGCTCCACAGCGACTGCCGTCCTTCCCCAGCCTCTGTGCCCACCTCCCCCAGCCCCTGCGGCCCACCCTCCCCCAGTGCACGCAGATGAACATACACAAACGTTTCTTCCAGAATCCTAGAAGGCGGACGTTTGAGGCTCCAACTGGGATCAGGGTGCTCAGGGTGAATGAACAGCGCAAGTCAAATGGGTGTTGTTTATCTCGGTGTCTTCAGCGCAGGCTGGGATAGCACAGTGACGCACATCCTGCGTGGTGTCTCACAAAGGCCCGCTGTCCAGTCCTCCAGAGGCCACCCAAAACAGGACAATTAAACCACCTGCTCCATCGGAGACGCAAGCTGTCAACAGCTCCCAGACCGTCCCGACCCCGGGCCACAGGGGGGCGGTTCTTCAGAGGACGCTGGCTGCCTTCTGCACGGAGCAGCAGGCAGCTTAGAGAACCATCCAGAAGGGACAGGCGGAGGGGGTGGGGTGCAGAGTCTCTCCTTCCGTCCAGAACGTTACCCGAGGACTCCCGCCCCCTGGGACAGTGCCAGTGCTCCACGGTGGTCTTCTTTCCATCTTTTTTGCTGTCTGTGTGTGACTTTACTGAATTTTGTGATGCACTGCTGCACCGCAGTCCTGGCTCCTAAAGTGTCCACCTTCCCACCCAGCGGAAAGACGGCTGCCCAAAGTCAAACACAAGGGGTGCTCCAAGGCCAGCCCATGAAGGGTCTGACTCTGCAGGACCCACTGGCCCATCTCAAGGGGGACAGTCTCGCCCCCGTTGAGGCAAAGGGCGCTGACTGACATTCTGCATGAGAATTCTGTGAGAACAAGTGTCCCCTGCCTGAGGGAGCTTTCACCGCGGGCTCCCTTCTGGCCCAGCCCTTCCACCACTCTAGGACCAGAGCTGGAGAGGGATCCACCTGGGAGAAGCCCCTTCCTTGAGGTGGCCCCTTTCCTTGCAGGCTGTTCCCACAGTCCACAACAGCCAAAGCCACCTCCCAGCCTTCCCTTGGCCGCTGAAACTGGCCCATCAAATCCTTTTACTCCTACTAGAAAGAGGACTGAGCTGGCCAGCCAGGGCCCCTCTGCCTGCTCCGCTCACGGAAGCCCTGTCTCCCCACCCACCCAGAGAACACCGCTGTGAGAAGAGCTCGAGGGGCAGAGACGGGGGCGGGATCCTGGTCCAGCCCCCCTGAACCCCCAAGGGAGTCTCCCAGCCTGACAATGAGCACGCCTGCATTCGAGCAGTTACCCTGTGTCTCGCGTGGACGGGTTCCACGTGGCCTGGGGCTGACGTGCTCCATGGCGGGCTGACCACTGAACACACTGGGCTTGTCTGCGCTCGCACCCTGACTTCCTCCCGCGGAGCTGGCTCCGTGTCTGCCGAGAGGTGAACGCACATTAGGTGGTCCCACCACTCAGAGCACCAGGAAGGAAAGGCCAGAGCCACACTCGGGGCTGGGCTCCAGGCGGGACATCAGCTCCAGAGGAGAGACCGTCTGAGGACAGGAAGCACACACCCGGACACCTGAACGCCCTCCCTTCCCCTCTGCTTTCCTCTGCTCTCCCTCTCCACCTCTGCTGCACACACTAAAAGTGAGATTCAGGAACTCTCACCCAGGTGCCAGGGGTCAGTGCTCTCTGGGCCTGTGAAGGAACTCAGCCCAGGTCCAGGGCCTGCCTCTCTTCCTCAGAAAGACGCCCTCGACCCACCTCACCAATCTACTCCCGAAAGACTAAGAGCTGTGGGGCTGCCCTCGCCAGTTCTTTAAAACCCCTGCAGGCAAGCGGATTCCGACTCACAGTGTCCTTAGAGGACAGCGGAGAACTGCCCCACAGGGTTTCCAAGGCTGTAATCTTTATGGAAACAGAGGCCACATCTTTCTCCCATGGAACAGCTGCTGGGTTCAGTTATCAGCTGAGTCCTTTAACCACTGTGCCACCAGAGCTCCTGAATAAAGCCCATCCCTATGAGAACAGCCAGGAGGAGCCAGTATAGTCACGGTTGCAGGGAACAGAGTCGGTATGGTCTGACCAGTGGTACTGCCCGACTCTGCCCTGATGGCCCTCTGGGGCTGCAGCCAGCCAGGGGGACATGCAGGGGAGGGGTGCCTTGGGGCGCTTTCTCTCTCTCTGAAATATGGGGTTAACCCATCATTGCAGTTGTCTGCTGCCTTCCTGCACCTAGCCCCCCAGAACAGATAGCCTCCTAAAGGAAGAACGTTAGCAGGCTCAAGCCTCAGGGGTCTAAGGAGGATCACCCCCGGGCTGACTCTGGTCCCCAAAAGAGCAGCTAAGGAGGTCTCCCGAGCCCCTCTGCAGGCCCCTACATCTCAGCGTGCAGAGCACCTATGCGCCAACCTCAGGGCTCGTCAAAAGGGGACTGAAGTTCGCCTCCAGCCCTGTGACAGGAGGATTCCTGCAAGCAAGGAAGGCTGATGGAAGGTAGGAAAAGCCAAGGCCCAAGGCAGGGCTGTAAACATGGTGGTTTTCTAAGGCCAACCTGGTACACGGCTTTGGCAGCTACAGTTAGTGTTCAGAAGGTGGTGAGGACCATGCTCTGGGGAGAAAGACAGAGTCCATCCACATCCTCAGATGGGGCGGGGAAAGGGGTGCACTAGGGGAGACGGGTGCTCTTTCATCTTCCAGCAGGGACTGTGGGGCTGCTTGGGGAGACGCCCCCCCATCATAGTCGGTTTACACCTACATGCACAGGAAGGGGCGGGAGAGCACGGGAGGAGGTGCTTACGCCTACGCTAGTTTGGAACTGTGACGCTACGAAGGGCAGAAACTCTCCCGGCAGGCCAAGAAGGTGACAACGCCGCTCTGGACTTCTCGGTCAAGCCCTAGCAAGGCCCTATCAGCCCCAGGCATGGACGGCCACACCTGGAAGCAGGGCCAGGAGAGCACAGGTCCCGAGGCCCCACCGGCCCAAGCCCTGAGCCTGTCTCTGAGGTGCCATGGGGAGATAAAGCCACACCCCGGTCCCTGGGAGCTATGCCGTGGGACTCGTCCACACCTCGGCAGGTCCTGGGGCAGGCAGGAAGCAACGCTTCGAGGGACCTGACCCCCAGAGCCGCCAAGGGGCACCAGCTCCTCCCTGATGGCCTCTCTCCCCACCAGGCTACTCACCACCAAGTGATCTTGAACTCATAGATGGGGCGCTTGCAGTAGTAGTGGTTGACCAGGTGCTTGTCACACACCCCGATGCACTGGTGGTCAACCATGAGGCCCTGGGCTGAGAGGTCTGTCACCAGGCAGTGCAGCAGGTCATAGACGTCAGCCACGGCCTCCCAGGGCCCAAAGGACACGTCCACCTCACAGTGGTGCTCAAAGAGCTGCCCGTCGCTCTCACTCCGCTCGAAGCGCAGGGAGCCAAACAGTGGGCACTCGTAGGGGGTGATGGGCATCTCCTCCTTGAAGACACAGACCTTGAGCTTGGCGAAGCGGGCCTTCCGCTGCACTGCACGCAGCCGGGCAATCTCCACAATCCGCTCCAGGTGGTCTGCGTGGGTGAACACGGCACCCGTCATGGGGGCGGAAAGGGGCAGGGCAGGATGCCAGGGGAAGGGAGGTTCCCAGGGATGGGGCCTGTGGGCTGAGGAAGGGCTCAAACTTAACCAGGAGCTCTGGTGGTACAGTGCCTAAGGCACCTGACTGCTAACCAGAAGGCTGGCGGTTCAAACCCACCAGCCACTCCTCAGAAGGAAGGCTGGGCAATCTATTCCTGTAGTGATACCACTTCGGACACCCAAGGAGGGGTTGCTATGAGTTGAGTCCGACTCCACGGCACATAACAACAACAACAACATGCCTTTCCACCCCAGCCCCAGCTGCCAACAAGTCAGCTCTGACTCTCAGCCAGCCCATGACTGTCAGAGCAGAACTGGGTTTTCCCAAAGCAGGTGTTTTGGAAGCAGATTGCCAGGGCTCTATTCCAAGGCACCTCTGGATGACCCTGAACCTGTAGCTTTTGGTTAGCAGCCAAGCAGGTGAACTGATTGCACCCTGAGGGCCTCCATGGCCTTCCACGGCAAACAGGAAACCACCGGGTGAGCACTAGGCAGTGTGACGACCACCACGGGTAAGGTCACCCACTCCACCCCGAGTCCTCCTGGAGTGACCGGAGGGGCAGGATTCTTTTGCAGGTCAGGAATCTAGGTGAACCTTGGAGCCACTTGTTGTGGCAGCAGCAGACGCCGGGACCCTCCTTCGCACCCTCGTCCTGGGCAGTGACCCCTCACCTTTGTAATAGGGCATGAGCCCCAGAAACGCCTGGCGCACCTTCTCCCCCTTCAGCGGCTGCATGTTCTCCAGCTGCTCCAGCAGGGCTCCGATGGCGTAGTACTGGGCCTCCTTGTACACGGCCCGCACACGCTCCCGGGGCGGCAGGTCCCCCGAGCGCAGGAAGTTCAGCACATCTCTGAGTGGGAAGGAAGCGGGGCTGGTGAGAAGCGGATGTGGTGCCACGTAGTCTGAGCATGGAATCCAGCCCCAGATGCCAGCTGTGCAACACTGGGGGAGTGACTTAACCCCTCTGGGCCTTATTCATCTGTCAGATGGGGTGGGAGGAATAACAGAACTACTTCATAATAGTTTGAAGGGATTAACTAACTTAATACATGGAAAAAAAAAAATAACAAAACCAAGCCATCCAGTTGATTCTGACTTACAGTGACCCCATGTGTACAGAACAGAACTGTGCCCCTGGGGGGCTTCTGTTTGTCAGAGAAAGTCTGATTTATTGTTTTATTGTGCTAAAAATGTATATACAGGCAGACCTCGGAGATCTTGCAGGTTCAGTTCCAAAGACCACAGTAAAGCAAGTTTGCGATACAGCAATTGTCATGAATTTGTTGGTTCCCAGTGCATATGAGTTACGCTTACACTATGCTGTCATCTATGAAGTGTGCAACAGCCTGATGAGAAGATCTAAAATAGTGTGAGAAGGGCCAAAATGGGACACAGAGACATGGAGTGGGCACTCGCTGTTGGAAAAATGGCACCGATAGCCTGGCTCGAAGCAGGGCTGCCACCAACTGTCAATTTGTGAGAAAAACACATTATCTGAGAAACAAAATAAAGCAAAGCACAAAGAAATGAGGTCTGTCTGTGAGAAAACACTCGGCAACTCGACATCCTTCACATGGACGATTCGGTGACATGCGTTACGCTCATCACGCGGTGAGGCCACCACCACCGTCCTTCCCCAGTGATTGTACCATCAACAGAAACTCGGTGCCCCTAAGCTAAGACACCTCCTTCCCACTCCCTGCCACCCTTACAACCACTAATAAACTTCAGTCTCCATATTTGCCGATTTCATAAAGCAAGAACATATGGTATTTGTCCTTTTGTGACCAATGTATTTCATTCCGCGTAATCCTTCCAACATCCACCGACACTGCAGTGTGTATCAGGCCTTCATTTCTCTTTCTGGGCAATTAATATCCCATTGTATGTATGGACCACATTTTATTTCACCATTCACCTGCTGATGGACATTTTAGTTGTTTCCACCTTTTGGCTACTGGCTACTGTTAAAGTTACGCTTGCTTCATAAAAAGAATTTGGGAGGATTCGCCTTTTCTATGTGCTGCAATAGTTTGAATAGGCCTGGACAAGACATTTTCTTGATGAAAACCCCAAGGAAGACTGGAATTGGAAATTCCTTAATATGATTTAGGGTGTATATGAAAAACCAACAGTGTACATTATATTAAATGGAGAAAGACTGAGAGCTTTCCCCTTGAAATTGGGAGCAAGACAAGGGTACCCGCTCTCACCACTTCTATTCAATTTTGCATTAGAAGTCCTAGCCAGAAGAATAAAACGAGAAAAGAAAGAAAAGGTACCCAGATTGGGAAAACAAACAAACAAACTTACTGCCATTGAGTTGATTCCAACTCACAGCAATCCCCACTGGGTTTCTGAGGCTGTAAATCTTTACGGAAGTAGATTCCTCCATCTTTCTTCTACAGAGTGTCTGGTGGGTTTGAACCGCCAACCATATGGTTAGCAGTCAAATGCCTTAGGCACTGTGCCACCACGGCACCTCCAGATTGGAAAGGAAGTAGTAAAATTATCTCCATTCCTGGGTGACAGGATTCTGTGTGTAGAAAATCCCAAAGCCTTCACGAGAAGACTTCTAGAGCTAATAGAGGCGTTTAGCAAAGTTGCAGAGTATAATGTCAACAGAAAAAAATCAGGTGGGTTTCTGCACATCAGCAATGAGCAATTTCAATGGGAAATTAGGGAAATAATTCCTTTTATAATCCCATCTAAGAGAATAAAATACCTAGGAATAAATCTAACCATGGACATGAAGAATTTATACCATGAAAACTATAAAATATGCTGAAAGAGATCAAAGCATTAAATAAATGGAGAAGTGTTCCATATTCATGGACTGGAAGACTCGATATTGTTAAGATGTTGATTCTACCCAAAGCTACCTATAGATTCAATCCAACTCTGATCAAAATTCCAACAGCTTTCCTTACAGAAATAGAAAAACTAATCCTTAACTTGACATGGAAAGGCAAGAGACACTAAAGCAATACTGAAAGAGAAGAACAAAGTAGGAGTACCCATACTTCTTGATTTTAAAACACATTATACAGGTACAGTAATGAAAGCAGCTTGGTATTGCTGTAACAACAGACACATAGACCAAAACTGAGAGGCTGGAAATAATCCCCACATACCTATGGTCAACTGATTTTTGACAAAGATGCTAAGTCCATTTGATAGGGAAAGAAGAGTTGCCTCAATAAATGGTGCTAGGCAAACTGGATTTCCACACTCAAAAAACTGAAACAGGATCCCTACCTCACACCATATCCAAAAACAAATTCAAAATGGATTAAGGACCTAAGTGTGCAAACTAAAACCATAAAATTCTTGGGAAAACGATCAGGGCCAACACTGTCAGGCCCAGCTTCCAACAATGGACTGTCTAATATAATAAAAGCACAAACAGTAAGAGACAAAAAAATAAATATAAATGAAAGCTCCTAAGAATTTAAGAACTGTTGTTCATCAAAAGACTTTACCAAAAAAGTGAAAAGACAAGCTACCGACTAGAAGACTGTCTTCAGATACCATATATCCAATAAGTATTGAATAACCAAAATAAACATAAAACTTCAACAGAGTAACAACAAGAGACAACCAACCCCAACCCAATCCTAAACTGGGCTCCATAAAGTTTTCAAGGCTGTGACCTTTTGAAGCAGACATTCGGGACTTTCTCCTGAGGTGTCTGTGTGGGCTCAAACCACTCACCTTCTGTCCAGCAGTCAAGCACTTAGTCATCTGTGCCACCCAGGAGCTCCAGTTCTAGGGGTGAATAAAACCACATGCTGCGTTTTTTAAATAAGCTCAGTCATCCTCATTCTCTTTTTGATTCCGCAGTGCTGAGAGCAACCAGATTCCTCGCTGGTGGCTGTGGGAGGAGCTGCCCATTAAGGATATGTGAGTAACCAGAAGATGCAGCTGCCAACCCAGTAACCGGTCTACGACCACACACACCACAAGCATCACCCACTCAGGCATGAGTCTGACTCAGCCACTGCTCCTGTGTTATCCCATCCCGTGCTCTCAGTTCCTTGTCAGTAGGTGTGCTCTTTCTCCACGTAAGAAGGAGGAATTGGCTCAGAGAGGTCAAAGACGCCCTTGCTCAAGGAGCTGCAGCTACCAGAGCCTTGGCACAGATGAGGCTGGCTCCGGGCCCCATCCCCGTGCGCCAGACCTCAGCACAAATGGTCCAGCGTGAAGTGCTGCAAATCACCTGGGAAGCCTGCACAGTAAGTTCCCCAAAGGCCCTGAGCCCCTACTGCCTTCCATCCAGGCCTTTGGAAAACTTGCTACTGCTGCTGACTCACAGGCGGCTGGAGTGTGATGGCCAGAGCAAGAATGCCACAGGGTCCCACTCTCCACCATGCCCAAGCCTGGCTCCTTGAGCTCCACAGCGGCCACCTGGGCAGCCTGCAGCCAAACTCTGTTCCCCTCCTCCAGCCCCCGTACAAAATCAGTCTTCTACTCAGGGGACATCAACGCCAATGGCATAAACAGGCTACAAAAATGGCCACATCCTACTTTGATGAGCAGCGATGGGGCTCTTAAAAGCTTGTGAGCAGCCATCTAAGATGCAACGACTGGTCTCTCCTCGTCCAGAGCAAAGAAGGGTGAAGAACATCAGAGACTCAAGAAAACAGTTAGTCCAAAGGACCAATGGACTACAGGAAGCCTCCACGACCCCGAGACCACAACCAGATGGTGCCTGCCTACCACTACCGACCACTCTGACTAGAATCACAACAGAAGGTACTAGACACTCAGGGGGAGAAATGTAGAACAAAATTGAAAACCATAAAAAAGACTTACTGAGCCGATAGAGACTGGTGGGACCCTTGGGACTATGGCCTTAGACACTCTGGAACTGAACCCACCCCTGGGGACTGGCTTTCAGCAACAGACAGACCTATAAAGTGAACAGTGACCCCCGTGAGGAATGTGCCCCATGAGACCAAAAGGGCAGCATCTGCCCAGAAACAAAGCTCAGAAGGCAGGAAAGAAGGGCGAATGCAGACAGAGGGCTCGGGGCCAAGCAGGCAGGATGCTGCTGCACTGAGCACGTGGCAACCAAGGTCACCAATCACAACGTGTATAAACTGCGGGCCGGGAGAGGAATTTGCTCTGTAAGCTCTCCTCAAACTACAACAAAAGTAAAAAGCAAACAGTCTTCGAGCATCTCCCGGGAGCCTTGGTGAGCTCAGGAGAACGTAACCACCCGGGGCAGGCCTCAGCTGAGAGGGCCACAGGAGCCGCCAGCCGGGGCCAGCACTTTCTGCCTGCGAACCGCCTGCAAACAAGAGCCTCTTTATAGCTCTGCGGAGTGCAGTGACTCTTTGTTTTCTCAGCATTAGAGGCAGCTGACAGCCCGCTGGGGACTCCCAGCTGCGCCACAGGCCCCTTCCTGAGGACGAACGTGACCCTTCCCCAGCGTGGGCGCGCCTGCCCGTCGGCCAGCACGCAGACGTGGGGGCTGGAGGGTCTCTGCCTCTCTGGGCACCTGGTTCAAGGGCAAGGTCACGCCATTCTCTAGTCATCTCCAACATTAGACAAAAGCATTTCAGCCACTTACCCTGAAAGGGAGGTGGCCAGGGACACACCGACCCACCGCTGTTGAGAGGATTCCGACTCATGGCGGCCCCGTGACAGAGCAGAACTCGGCTCTGTAGGGTTTTCCTGGCTGTCATCGTTATGGGACCAGGCTGCCAGGCCTTTCTTCCGCAGTGCGGCTGGGCGGGTTTGAACAGCTAACCTTTAGGTGAACAGTCAAGTGCAAACCATCTGTGCCAGCCAGAGACCTGGGGTCACACCAGGGCTCTTTATCTAATCATGAGGCCTGACAGGCCTGCAGGGCAGCTGGAGTCACTCCTTATCTCATAAACAAGGAAACCAAGCCTCAGTGTCTTTCAATTGTTACCGTCAGGGGCCTCACGTCCTTTTTGGAAAGGATGATCTTCCTTCTGAGGTTACGTCCTTTTTGGAAAGGATGATCTTCCTTCTGAGGTTACGTTTCCCACGTTTTGGTATTAAAGCAGCACAAACAACCAAAGGCTTTTGTTAAGGAGCTTCTTGGCAAAACCAAAGCAGGGCAACCAACCCTATGTCAGCCCTCCCTTCACCTTTTTTTTGGTTTGCTTGTCTTAAACTATGATAAGAAGACTGGGAACCACCGAGGCACACCTCAGCAATGTGGAACCCTGGAATCTGGATTTGAGGATGTTCTCCAAGAGGCTGTTTTATAGCCCCCTCACCTCTAGATGGCAGCATCCCTAGCCCTTCCACACAGATGACTGCTTCCTGGCCTTACACCACACTGACTACAAGCACTATCATGGTTCCCAGCCAGTCTGTTACCTGGGACATGTCTGTCTGTCACTGTCTCCTTCAGGATGGTACATCAATGCATTATCTCTTCTTCTAGGTACGATGGGAAAAAACCCACCAAACCCATTGGTGCCGAGCCCATTCCAACTCTGGTGACCCCACATGTTACAGAAAGGGTTTTCTTGGCTGTTCAGTTTGTGCTTGACTGTTAACCTAAAGGTTGGTGGTTCAAACATACCCAGTAGTACTGTAGAGGCAAAGGTCTGGTGATCTACTTCCATTAAGATTATAACCAAGAAAAAAAATTATCCATATGAAATTAAATGGGCGACAATTACTTCACAACAAAGATGAAAACGCAAAGGCACAGGGAAACTAGATGCAGGGATACAGAACCACCAGAATGAAAACAGTGAGAACGTTCACACACTGGGAAGAAAGGCACCAATGTCACTGAACAATATGCCTAGAAATTGTTGAATGGGAACCTTAACTGCTGTGTAAATCTTCACCAAAAACACAGTATTATTAAAAAAAAAAGAAAAGAAAAGATTACAACCAAGCAAACCCTGTGGAGCAGTTCCACCCTGCACCACATGAGGTCGCCACGAGCTGGAAAGGACTTGATGGCGACTCACAAGAACGACAAACTCTACAGAAGCAGAGTCTGTCAGGGCTTTCTTCCACGGCACTGGCTGGTTGATGGTTCTGAGGAGCACAATCGAACTGTCAATCTTCAGGCTAGTAGCTGAGTGCAAACTGTGCCACCCAGGGACCGTCTAGGTGCCATGGAAGATGCCAAAGGTCCAAATTCAAGCTCCAGCTAGTCCCCTGCAAGGACACAAAGCTTCCTGGAGGGAGAAAAAAGCTTCCTGGAGGGAGAAACTCACCCAAAGTGCACGCCGTCTCGGTCAATGAAGTACCGGCCCTCAGCATCGGTGGGGATGTAGTGCCGCCCGCTGAACATGGCTGCCAGCATGGTGTCTTCGTAGCGCCGCAGGGTGGACAGGCGTGTGGTGAAGTGGGTCCCTCCGATGTTGAGGGGGACAACCTCAGGAAACTGGAATGGAAGGACTGAGGTTCTCAGATAGGCAGGGGAATGAAAGCCAGGCTGTGTGACTGGCGCCACACCGTTCACTCTGTCACCCAGGTCCTAAACCCAGGGGTCTGGATCAATGCTTTCTTCTCTCTCCTCTCTTCCCCACATGCATCAGTCACCAAGCCCCACCCCCAAACCACGAACCCGTCAAGTCAACTCCTACTCACGGTGACCCGTGTGTCAGAACAGAACTGCCAACCTGCTGGTTAGTAGACAAGCGCAAACCCGTCTGCATCACCCAGGGACCTCATGCTACCTCTTGTTGTTGCTGCTGTTAGATGCCGTCATGTCAGTTCTGACCCGCAGTGACCCCATGCACAATAGACGAGAACACTGCCCAGTCCAACACTGTCCTCACAGTCACTGCCATGCTGGAGCCCGCTGTGGCAGCCGCTGTGTCAATCCATCTCTTTGGAGGGCTTCCTTTTCCTCTGACCCTCTACTCCACCAAGCATGAAGTCCTTCTGCAGGGACTGGTCGTGCCTGATAACACGTCCAAAGTACGTGACACAAAGTCTCGCCACCTTCATGTCTACTAGCTCTCATCAGGTCTCCCCACTATCTCGTTCTCCAGGTCAAGCATGTATGGCCATCCTTCCACTGCCTGAACTCGCCACCTCTGTGTCCCTGTCCTTGCCATGCTCTCAGCCCCAAATGCTCCTACCATCCTCCCCCTCCCTGATACACACCACCTAGCAAACGGAACCACACCTGACTGTGGTTGAGGTTTCCTTGCCCGGGGCACCTGGATGAGAAGGACCTGCTACCCAGCGGAGAGCCTTGCACAATCCACACCAAAGCACCACAAAGGTTAACAGTATCCACTCACTCTACAGGCTCCCTTCCCCTGTGAGCATTTCCACTCTCCTGTCTGACTACTGGAAGCTCTGGTGGCATAGTGCCTAAGGCACTTGACTGCTAACCAGAAGGGCGGCAGTTCAAACCCACCAGCCATTCCTCGGAAGGAAGGTTCGTCAATCTAATTCCATAGTGATATCACTTTGGAAACCCAAGGAAGGGTCGCTATGAGTCAGATCCGACTTGATGGCAGTAAGTGTTTTGTTTTTGTCTGACTACTTATCAAAACGTTGGCGGTTTGAATCCACCCAGCGCTGCTGTGAAAGAAAGGCCTGATAATCTGCCTCCAGTTGGTGAGGAGTTGGCACCAGAGCCCTGGCCTACAGGCTTCAGGTCCTATGCTCTTCCCCTCAAACCAAGTAATGACTCCAATGACCCAAAGGGACCCTCAACTCTCCCCTCTGCTCTTGCTAAAAGACAGCACCACTGTGCCTCCAGAGGCCCTGTTCTTCCAGTGGCTAGGAGTCCTTCTAACTAAGAGGTTGATAGTAAGAATCCACTCACAGGAGCCTCCAAAGAAAGGCCTGGCAACTGTCTTGAAACTCAGCATGGATTGCAGTTCCATTCAGAGACACATGGTGGCGCCACGATCGGAGCACTGCTAGAGATTTGCTCACTCACAAGCTTTCCATGACGGAGAGCCTTGATGGAGAAGCTGACAAGAGGGGGACCCTCTGGAGAGAAGAGATGCTGTCTGTCTGGGGCTGGGCCAGCTCGGGGCCTCTTGGGATTAACTCACCAAGATGTTTAACTCTTTCAAACCACTTCATCCCCAGCTCCACCTGATCCTCACACGGTCGTGACAGAAAAGTAAATTGAGGGCCAGAGGGCCGGATGCTTCAGGGAGGTCGCCAAGGAGCTAGTGGTACCCACCCGGCTCCCAGTTGTAGGAACAGGATCTCCAGCCCCAAGGGGGACGGTGTATTCCCAAGAGCTCCCCCCAGCCCTGCCCAGTCTCTGGAGCTCTGTCCCCACGTGACATGCTTCCACAGCTGGACTGCCTAGCCTCCACCTCCTGGTTTCCATCTTCAACGCCCGGCAGAGGCCCGGCTGCCTGTTCTCCCTGGTCTGGAGCGTCGTCTCAGACGTTGGTAGGATGCAACGCCACACAGACTGTGAGACGAGGGGGCCAGGGTGCACCCGGGACAGCAGCCAGCCTGCCAGTGATGGAGGAGGAGGGGCTGTGTGGACACCCCTCCACATCGCTCCGCTGCTGCTGCCCTGCGCCCTGCAGCTGGAGGCTGGCTCTGGGCCGCCGCCCCGGCCTCCTCTTGGATCCTCTGGAAGGCACCACATCTCCGGGCTCCCAGGTCCCGTTAGCCTTCCCTCTCTGCTCGGTGGGGGCGGGGCAGAGGGGTGGGGACGGTCCTGCTCGCAGCCAGGGGGCACTGCAGGGGCTGGGGGACACACCCGGGCCATCACTGGTCGGGGGCGCTCGGCCCCCGGACCTCGCGAGCTCCCACACGAAGGGGCAGCTCCCGGCCCTGCAGCTCCTCCCGGCCCGGCCCCCCTACCTCCTGGGGCACCAGCGGCAGCGCGTGCCCCGCCTGCGTGGCCGTCGGGGTGGCTGGCTCCAGGAAGTCGTCCTCGGCGTCGGAGCTGGACATGGCACCGGCCGGACGACGGCTGTCTGGCTCCCGCCCCGTGACTACCACCATCCCTCTGGCTCTGAGCAGGGGGCGCGGCTCGGGCACTA